TCACCTGCATCACTTCCAACAGCCACTTCATGTTGATCATCTCTTACCTTAGCTTTCTTACGTTTCTTCATTGATCTCTTGGGTGACTTAACATTGGATCGTCCAACGGAGTCGGAAAGATCTTCAAGTTCATCCCCACTTTCTCCATCAATGACCAAAAGACCTTCACCTTCCGATGTTGAGCATCCATCATCAAGAACTGCCATGATCTTCTCCACACAAGATGATTTCAACTTGATCTTTTCTTGATCGACGCTCACATAGGGAACATAGTCTTTGACAGTCATCTCGATGATGTTGCCATTTGGATCCAACATGAATGGAGTTCTTCCGGTCGGCCATACAAAGGAGTAACCAAGATCAACGCATCGCTTTCCCATGGAGAGCACGGAGGGTGTGTCCTCCAAGATGTGAGCTTTTGCTGGTTCGTTGAATGCCTCGAACTTGATGCTTGAACGTTTGGTCGAACACGTTACCCCATTTGCTGTATGGAAGTTGACGACTTTGTCATCGTATGTTGGGAGATCCATTCTACTTATTCGCGTGGATGAAATGAGATCATGACCACTTCCAGAATCCAATATGAATCTCTTATCTCTCTCTTCAACAGGAACAGTGATACACATTGTGTTGCCCCTTTTACCATATCGACCTTCAATATGCTGAACATAGTTTTCCACAAAAACTTCCCTGGACACCTCACCGTCCTCGACATCGAGTCTGATCAGGATGTCCATGCTAGGGCCGACTATGACCAGGACTTCATCAATGTCACTGTGTTCACCCTTCTCATCGATCAGAATAGCCATTGCTTTCCCTCGGCTCGAAGCTAACCTGCATGAATAAGACCATTGCTCATCTTTCCTTATCTGATCAGTGGGCTTTCCAACTTTACCATGACCTTTGGAGACAGTTTGAGATTTCCGATTGCACTTCACGAAGTCCTTCTTTATGTAAGTTTGAACGTGAGTCTTAGACTCATCAAATCTGACCTTCTTCTTGACCACGTTCGATGCAATCTTATGGAACGTCTCTTCATCATCGCTCCAATCATGGACAAGTGCAGGAGTAGCCTTTGAGCTTGGTGCTTCGGTGTTGGGAGCAGTGTTAAATAGATGAGGATCGTGGCGTTTGTTGCATTTGTCTCCATACCGACACTTGCCCTTAGCCCAATGCCAGCATGGTTCATCAATCTTCTTGGTCTTGTTTGCCGGAGATTGACTTCTTGGAGTTCCTGGCTTCCGACCATTCCCTTTTGCGTTCTTATTCGCCTCGAACACCTTTTGATCATGACTGTATTCACAATCTTTGCCTTTTCTGCATGATTTCTTGATGAAATGGAAATGGCATGGGATCTTCTTCTTGGATCTGGGGCTGGTACTTCGGCTGTTTGCTCGATCCTTCCCTTTCCCTTGACCTTTTCCTTTTGCATGCTGTTTAGGCTGAGGTGATGGTAGAACTGGAGCTGCATCGGCCTTGGCCTTCGCCTTGGGCGCTGCCTTCTCCTTGGGAGTAGCTTTAGGCTTCGCTTTTGGATTTGCATCCGGTGCAGCGGCAGTTGGGTTCGGAGCAGGAGCTGAAGGTTTGCCGCCACCTGCAAAGTCTCTCGCATACTTCTCTCTGGCGGCCACATGCTTGTCCTCTCTGATTCTGGAGATGTGCCTTTCGATGACGTCCAACAGGTAGCGATAATTTCGTCTTTGATCTCCTTCCATCCATGACTCGTACTGCTTGATGTCGAACATCATAAGACTCGAATTTCGAATCTTCTTGTATAGGGCATCACGAAGCCAATCGTCAGGAGGTACATCATCCGGCATCATGTTTGATACCATCTCCATCCATTTCTCGTAGAACACTTCTAGGTTCGAGTCACCGAGATACTTCATCGATACGATGTGTTCCATGGTGAAGGATGTTTCTCGTTGACCTGGGGTTCTGAAGTGCTCCAGGATCATAGCCAAGATTTCCCGTCCCATGACATAGGTTCCTCTTCGACTATGACTTTGTGTTCTCAATCTCAATTTGATCGCTACATGACGAGCAACATCACCGGCTTGGGCTATCACGTTTGACAATGCAATTGACAACTTGGCGTCGATGGACTGATACCGTTGCCCTCCACTGTCATTCAATAGCTCGATGTCAGGATTTGGTCGAATAGCCGGCTGTAGCCATGCCTCCCATGCGGCTTTATCCCCGTCATTTGCCGAAAGAACAACACTCTTGATGAGATCTGATTGCCAAACCCCAAGATTCTGTTGCTTTGGCCATGGGCTAACATAGACTTTGTCAGCCTCTCGTCTTGACATTCTCGGTACTTCTTCTGCAGTGTAAGCCGCTGTGGAGACATCATCTGCTGAATCGCGTTGTGATCCTCGAACTGAAGGCAAACCTGGAGGTTCAGGAGGTGGTCCTGGCCGTTAGGCCCGAAAGGGTCCGGAGGTCCATCAGGGTCAGGCGGACCGCCCCATCCACTCGGTGGCTTGTAATAGTCCCTCTCAGTTCCGCCAGCGATCTTGTTGTCAACCTCTTTCAGCAGATCAGCGATTCTTTTGCTTGATTGAGAATGCTGTTGTTGTTGAGGAGGTACAGCATGCCCACGATAGGAATGAGCCACATTTGTCTCATAAGTCAACTCCTTGTCGATCTGCGAAACCCAAGATTTCAGAATAGCGTTTTCACAGTTAGCCTCACTCACGTCATTCTCCAGTTTGTCGATGACCAGTCTGGATGCGAGATCGGAGTTGGGAATGCCTGCCGAATAGGGAAGTGTGTCAGGACTGATCCTAGCCATAGATGTTTCAGAATCCTTGAGACTTTTTCTCAGTTCATCTAAGTGACGTTTCATGTCAACAATCTCAGAATTCTTGATGCCAATCTTTTCATCCCTATCCTGGATTTCCCCCATGAACATGCATGATCTCTCATATTGTTGAACACCACTAGCCAATTTCAATTTTCGCTCACTCTCTAGTTCAGATCTTAGAGTTCGGACCTCAGCATTGGTGAGGGACGACGTCCCTACATCCGCAACTTCAGCTAATCTTTCTTTCAATAACATGTTTTCTTGTAAACATTCATGAACTTCATGATCTAGATCCTGAACCCTAATTTGAGCAATTTTGGCTTGATTGCGTAGATCTTCAACAAGCATCTCATCGGGGCCACGACCGTCGGTCGTAGTACCCTGAGTCAACGATCTCCGCAACTTCGTGTTCTGCAATTTGATCTCATCCTTTAACTCGCAGTTCATCTCCTGCTCATTGGTGTAGAGCTCTTCATAATGCTCGGCCCTCGCGATCGAATTCAAGCTGGCCTGTGATTCAAGCCTCAGGTGTGATATCGCTTCGGCCTCTTGGTTCCTGTATGATGCAATTCTTTTGACGGTATCATGTTCGGTGTTTCGATGCTTCAGATCACTTTCTAATTTGGCCTGATTTGCCTCGAAAACATTCTTTCTAGATTCTCTAGCGATCTCGTCAATACTGCTCTCATACAGCTCGGCCTGTTTACGAGACTGAACCAATGCTTCACTCAATAGTTGATTCCGTTCAGATAGTTCATGAACTGCAATCGACTGTTGTTGGCTAATCACTTCAAGTTGATTGCTAGAGAAGGACGCCATTTCGGTTCGATTACGATATTCCATGATTGAGTTCTGGAAATCTGTTTGCATTTCCTGACCTTCATTGTATAGTCGATTGGCAATATCGGTGGTTAAGACATTAGTTTGATGAAGTTGTTGAAGTCTTGCCTCCGTATTACCCAATAGTCCTTGAAGGTGATGTACTTCATCCTTGTACTCCTCCTGGATCTCCATACCACGTTGATGGATCCGTCGTGCACCATGTTCCATTAGGGCACCTCGGCGCTCAAGGTCTTGGATGCGTATTGTTGCACCTTCATCTTCCTGAGATGCCACCATTAATTCTGCTTGATATTCTGCAACCTCATTCGCGGAACGTGACAATCTATGATTGAGTGCACTGACTTCATCAAATACATTCTGGTTGTGTTCCTGAAGATACTCGGTGAATCTCATCTCGATGTCATGAATCAGTTGATCTCTAGATGCGGCGTATGCTTCCATTTGGTTCAACTGACTACGTAGGGATTGACATTGTGCCCGTAGTTCTTCTATCATGGCAATAGGTTCACTAGCCACAGAAGTATCCGTTGATCTCCTCTTAACACGACTATCCCCGGTCCTCTCACCAATTCGGTCAGTCACGGCCCTGGTGGATCTGTCCCTAGGAGTAGTTCGTCCTCGAGATGGTCGATGCCCTTGGCGGACAACATCACTCCGAGGACTGTTTCGAGAAGATCTTGGTGTACTTTGGGTGGATATCCTTCGTCTGTTTGTCGTTACTTGCCATCCGGACTGTGTGGTTCGGGTAGAGCGTATCCCACCACTGTCTGCCGTGTCACCAGGGGAAGACTGATTGACCTCCTCGACCGGCATGGCAGTGTTCTCGTTGAAGGTAAACTGCGTGGTGCGCGAATCTCCGCTACCGCCTTGCATCTTTGCGATGATGAGCTGATTGGTCCTTTGCGTCCTCAATCAATTGCTCAGACGGCCCGGCTACCAGCACGCAGGTACCACTCTCCCGACGGGAGAAGTGAGCCCTTACGGCTGATAACCTGTGAGCAATTTGATCCTTGTTCTGGATTATCCCTTTTGATTGTAGTTCCCTATGTGCTGATAGTCGGAGCTGTCAAACCATGCAGCAGCGGAGCGCGTTATTTTGGCCTCGCAGTGGGTCTTGAGCCAAAATGGCTTGAGCCGTGCAAGAATGTGCACATGCTCAGCATGTGTTACTACTGTGTTATCTCGTTCCCCTTCGCATCACAACATGTCACAACATGTCACAACATGTCACAACATGTCACAACATGTCACAACATGTCACAACATGTCACAACATGTCACAACATGTCACAACATGTCACAACATGTCACAACATGTCACAACATGTCACAACATGTCACAAGACAGGTGTCGATGACCAGCAGTTCTTGCGAAGCAGATGTCCACAACTGGGACGATCGGAAGGATGATTTGAGCGGTGCTTTGGACCACGCAGAGAAGGCAGCTCTGATGGGTCGGAGAGGACAGGCATTAACAGAGTGCGAGCAGAAAAATTATGAGTAAAATGCTCCTCATGTAGTGCAGTGTAGTGTCACCAACATATGCTTCCATGCATCCGAAGTAGATTGGAATTCACAACTAGTAACATCTCATATCACTCCCTTTGGGTGTCTGTAATGGTCCCGAAAAGGAGCCCCAAAACGATATTTCCGGACACCATATATTTTAGTGCATGAGATCATGTCAAAGACATGATTCTAGCAATCGAGTTTGCTTGCACTCGTATAAAAACATGTCCACTTGTTTTCATTAACTAACTTCCAGACCTAACAGCCAGCGGGTGGGTCAAAAAAATCCCACTTGACTTTGGCTCAAGTGTGAGAAAACAGGCAGCGGCTCGCTCACCTCCGTGTTGTTGTGGGGCCGTTTGCCATAGCTGAGCCACTTTTCAGTGGCTATCAGCCGTACAGTTCGCCATCACTTCTGACAGAGGTTACATTGACCAGGAGTACCTTGACGAGTCTCGTGAGCCGAATCGCAAAACTCAAATCCCCGACCCTGTGGAGATCCATTCAGGCGCCCAGAGGAGGACGGAGAGGTCTTGCAACAAAGGTTCGGCGTGTGAAGGGAATCAGCCAGGGGTGTTATCAAGGAACTTACCCGTTCATAACGGGAGCCGGATTTGAATACGCAAAGCAGTGGAAATTTCAAATCAGCAACTCGGTGTTACAAGGGGCTACAGTCTGGGAAGTCGAGTCTTCTTCAAGTGGGGAAGAGGTTCAGATCTTGGAAAGGCAAGCTGCAAAAGCTCGCCCAACTCCGAAAGCAAGACCAACCGATCACTCAGCAAATTCCCTTCAAGGATCATCATGATCTTCGGTTGTGCCAAGGCAAAACCGTCTCCATCTAGTGAATTTCAAGCGCCAGGCAGCGTCAAATTCATCAGGGGGAATACAACTGTTGAGAGCAAGTGCAAAGCCAGCTGCGAAGGCTAAGGAGGGATCTCTTTAGCCACGCCTGTGTCTTCCGGACACGATGGTTTGGCTCGATCGCGGCAACAAGGCTGAAGACATTGACTCGGGCCCGGAACCTGTGGGTGTGAATTTCAAGGAAGTTTCAAACTACAGTTCATACAAGGGCCCCAAAACATGCGTCAAAGCAGGCTCACCGGATTTTCCAAAGTTAATCCTTTTTCTTGGCTGGCACCAAGTGTTAGATCGGTCAAGGACTGAGGGGTCTTGGGGCAGCACATTTCCGCGTGATTCCATCGAGTTTTTGCAACGCTTGTAGCAGGCAGCAGAACAGACGTGGGGTCATCGAGAAGCTTTGTCAATTGCGATCGTCACTCAAATTGAGCACTCATCTAGGAACTTGGATAACGCGCTTAGTTTGTGCAACCACAACAGACAGATTGTTGACGGGATTGTTCGCAACGATTTTCATTACCTGTGAGAGGTGTGGAGTCACTGGGAAGGCGGCGACGATCAGGAGCTACACCCTTGACTATTCCATCCCTTGTGCGTTGGTGGATGACAATCGGGAAGCTTGAAAATTCTGAGGTCCATACCTGCTATATTCACGTCAGGCGCAAGCCAAAGTGCCCAGAAGCTCAAGTGTCGCGTCATGTCCTTCTGGAGTGTGCGGAGCCCTTAGAAGGGCTGCTCGGCGTTACTGGCACACTTGAGTGAAAATGGGTGAGTAGCGCTTGCGCTCCATCCAGGGGCCAAAGATCTTTTGGAGAAAGCGCGTTAGCGTTTTCATACACCCAAAATCACCATGCAGAGTTCTCAGTAAGGAAGTTCCGATAGGTCAAGATCCCAAAGGGGTTTTGAAGTGGGTGCGGCGCAATCCATTGCCAATCCCATCACACCATCCCAATCAATGACAACCTCAAGTTCATCATCGCAATCAACTCCGGAGCCACGTGGGAGTGGGGATGGTAGGATAGCTTTTCCAGAACATCGGATTACTGTTCCAGCCGTGGAGGAAGCTAGGGGAACCCGAGCCATCCATGGTGATAACCAGCCAAGCCCAGAAACTTTGTCTCAGTTTTTGGGATCTCCCCAGTCTTCTCCGTTCATTGCACCAAAAATCAATGCCGTTCAACTAGAAACGCAAGATCACGCCCATTCGAGCCCATTTCATGGCCAGTATGAATCCACCAGGTCGGATCAGCAGGGAGCCAGCTCCAGCCAGGGTCAGTCCCAGGGCCCAACATTTGTCAAACATGAACTGAATGTTTCAATGGATCCTTTTGTTGTTGCACAAGCCGCACAAGCTGTGGAGGAAGCTAGGAGCATTGTCCAATCCCAAGCCATCCATGCTGGAGAGGAATCTAAAAGAATTCTCCAGGTACAAGCAACTCAAATGGTTGAGGATATCCAAAGACATTTTCAATCTCTATTGAAGCTTCTTGGACAATCTGGGTTGTACCCACTCTTGAATCCTCCAATTCTTTTCGAAGTTGAATGGACTGAGCATGGGATTCCGAAATTGCCTTTCGGGCTTGAGATTGCAATTGCTCTAAACTGCATGGCTTCTGTCCTAGTGGAAGTCAAGCTAGGGCTGAGATCCAAAGGGTTAAGGCTGAAGCTCAGTTCATGGTGTCAGGTTTGGAAGGTAGAATCTCTGAACTGATTCGTGTCAATGTGGAGTTAACCATGAAATCAGGTGAGCACATCCAGTTGATCAATGCTTTGACCCAAGGGGTTGATGAGCAGCAGTCGTTGTTGAGCAAGTTGCAAAGCAACTTGGCTATGAGTCCAACCTAGAGCCGCTGATGTTACGGATGTTCAAGTGCCATTGCAATTGCCAGTCGCTTCAGGAATCGGACAGTCAAGGCCTGGTCGGAACTCCGAGACGTGCTTGCGCACCGGAGAACAGACGGGTCTATGTTTGGGGAGTCTTGCAAGCCCAGTGCAAAACCCACAAGTTCAACTCTTTGCCATGCCTTCGCAACATGGGGATAGTCCAAAGGATACCCAGCTCAAAGAGTTGTTTGCAAAAGTTGAGTCGTTGGCATCCGTTGCTCACAATTTTGTATCCAATCAAGGGGGGGTAGAAAGTCAAGAGGGAATGGTTCCAACAAATGTTCACCCAAGGCTCCAAAGGAGTTTGATTTAGCTACCAGCTACCAGCTACCCCTCCAAGATCACCACCGGGTTCATCATCTTCGTCGTCTAGCAGTAAGGGGGGCGGGGGAGGCGGAAGTGGTCCAAGTACTCCACCAAGGGGGTCGCATGCTTCAAGGGCATCCAGCTCCAGCAATCAGAGTCGTGCTGTTGATCCATGCAAGTATGAAAAGAAAATCATGCGGGTTAAGCAGTATGAATATCTGAAGATCCCCAAACTTCCTAAATAAGTATCGGATGCGAGGGCGTTTAGAAACTCGGTGTCCAATTTAGTTTTCAAACTGGCTAAGCGTGATGAAAAGCCTGTTTTTGAATGGATTGAAAAGCGCGTTGACCCAAACATGTTTGAGTCCGTGAATGATTCATTGCGGTTTCCACTCTTGCACCATGTCTTAGGCAGTAAGTTGTTGGAGCTTAGTGAAAATATTCGCTTCGCTATGCATTTTCAGACCGTGCAAGAGGCATGCCAAAGGAAACATAAGCAGCCCAAAGGGAGGCAGTTGCTTTGGATCATATTTGGGAAGTATAAAATGGAAAGAGATTGTGGCGTAGCCCTCACTCAGAATCATCTTCTCAACCTAAAATGCAGGGTTCAGACATCAAAGCACTCGAGGATTTCCGAACAATTTTGACTTCATGTGGCAAGCCTTGGAGGTCAGTGACCGACCTTCAGATTCGTCACTTAGGAGCATTGTTTGAGCAGTTGAAATCTCACCCCAAATTGCAGTTGGCCATTGATATATAGATTCAGAAACTCATCGGGGGCATCATCAAAGCGCAGCTATCTTTGTGGTTATATGACAAGCTCGTAGAAGCCATTGAAATCGACCAACTGGAGGAAAACACAGCTAGCATTGAGAAGTCCTTGGCAGACACTGCATCATCCAGCAAAAATGCCCATGCAGCACCTACAAAGCCTCGCAAAGAGAAGCCAAAGGATGATCAAAACAAAGACAAACAAAAGTACACAAAAAGACTTTAAGCCTGACGAACCTGATAAAACCAAAGAGGGGCCCAAGGACAAGTCGGACAGGCACTCAAAGACTGTGCAACCTTCAGATGTTCAAGCTGCCGCAGCCAAAGGCAAAGGTTCAGGTAAGGGCAGCAAAAAGGATGACAAAAGCCCAAGAGGTAAAAAGGTGAAAGAGGGTGACAGGGTGACAAAAAGAAATTACCTTGTATGCACTTTGCATTCGATAGTTGTAATTGATCAAGCGGCTGTCTGTATCTTCATGACCCCGGCAATATGTACAAGGGCCCAAAGCCCAGGGGTTTAGTTGACAAGGGCACGCCATCTAGTGCTGGCGCAGCAACTGTGGCAGCTGCAACTGTCGTAGCATCCCGAGCGCCGCATCAGGCCGAGGGTGGGGAGTTGGGGAACAATGCATCCGAGTCGAACGACAAGCAGCCAAAGGCTGCACAACCCTTTACCAAGGGGATGTTTAAACAAGCCAGACGTGCATGCAGGGAGTTTTTGAAGTCGCAACCTTATAATATAACTTATAAGCCAAAACCCAGGCTCAACGTCTCTAGAGCCGGAGTGTTCGAAAAAGCCGTCAAAGTGTTCGCGGCCATTGCAGCATGTGTCAATCCTGTCATGCCTGAAGTGAATCAAGAATTTCTTTTGGATACGGGGGCCGGTAGAAACTTAGCGCGCGATGCCGGAAATTTTCACCGCCGCCACTCAGCCACTCTGCCACTCTGCCAGAGTGGCTGCGTCAGCCACTCTGGCAGAGTGGCTGAGTGGCTGAGTGGCTGCTCCAGCCACTCTGGCAGAGTGGCTGAGTGGCTGAGTGGCTGCGGCAGAGTCATCAATCAATGAAATGGATAAAGTTTTTAAGCATTTCAATATCCAAGCAAGATTATATG